ATCAAGTACTCCCGAACATAACGGATGATCATATTCAAGGTTTTCCGCCTTTACGTTCTGGAGTTCTGTTTCAATTCTCCCCCACATAGCCTTTTCACGACCGGCTCTCTCTTTTTTACACTGTCCAATATCACATTTCAGGGAACGTATATTTTCATTTGCTTCTTCATACCAATCCACCACATCGATTGCTAGAGCATTCACCTCCATAAGGGAACATAAATCGTCAAAAGCACCTCCAACCCAAAGTATGGTTAAAACTAGTTACTAAACGTTGTAAATAATAAAATTCACTAAATAAAATTGCGCGGATCAGATTAGGTTTCCGTTTTCATATAAGCCATCAAAGTACCAGAAGAAAGTTTAACTATAATGAAAGTAGTCCAAGGTGTAAGTGTGTACAACTAGCTACTGCCATGCGGGAAGTAGTATTACTACCACAACGGACATTAGCCCATTCACTAGAATGTATACTACCATTGCACTTCAATCAGTATAGTCCATTTCAGGAAACCTAAAAATAACGACTCATCATATCCGCCAACGTGTTAAAGATCTTAACTTACTCGCTGTTTCAAACTCTCGCCAGATCCAAAACTTCGAAGTCTCTCTAAACGTTCATTATCGAAATTAGGAACCTTTCTCAATGCATTTTCTGATATTGATATGAATTTTTGTATCATTCGTTCACGATCACCAGTCCATCCATCCGACTCCACACATTTATATAAGGCAGATACAACTGTAATGGCCGATACTGGGACGAAATTTAATAAAAAGTTTTCCATGACTTAAGAATTCGAATAAAAATATAGTTTTTTATGTTAAAAAAATGTTAGATATCGAAATACAAAACCGTTAATAAGCAATTAACGTAAATAGATTCGATATACTGTCCTTTTAAAACGTTTTCGTTCATCTCTTTCTACGTCTTCTTTCAGTTCTACAGAATGAGTATAATGCAGATGAATAAAGAATGTTTTTACGCCAAAAATTTCCCACACAAAGAAAATGAATGTACATGAGGTAATTAATCAAATTTGGTAAATCGCACAAACATGTATGCAATATGATCATGTATCACACATATTGAAATTCTAAAAATAATTTTCATTACATAGCCACATTATATTCGTACAACATATTGATTATCTGATTGATTGATTATGCAGAGGGATGATCAAAATTTAATTCCCTTCTTTACAATTAGAAAAATATGAAAAAGACACTCAACTATTCATACCCACATTTAAGAGCGGAGCTCATACCAAGGCATAGAAAGATCCCGTAAAATATATGTATGAACTTCCTTTTAATTTTCACGAAGAAGTTACGGTCAGGGAATTTATTGGAGGTAAGTATACACTTATATACTTGAAAAAGTGGATCGCAGAAGATCAGGGCCATGGATTAAATGAAAGACTTAAAGCGCATACAACAGGTACATAAGTGCCATGATTCATAGAAGAGACAGAGTCTCGAATCTTCGATTCATCGCCCAATGGCCTGCTCTGCAATAAAAATAATGTGACTTTTTTCGTTTATGGCGATGTGATGATAATATTCAAAGTGGATGTATCAAAGAAGTCAGACGCATCAGATCTTGGTATGGATATTCTTACTAAAAATGCAAATCAACAAAAGTTTTTTTTATAAATCTTTATCATTTTTGCATAAATAGGTGTGAACCGAAGTTCACAGTGGCGCAGTAACACATATTTCTCAACCCCTAAACGAGATTTCGATTTGCTTTCAAAGTTTTTGCTATTATATAATCAATATCATTCAGACTTAAGTTTGAAATAGCTGATGCGGAAAAAGATTGAACTCGTCCTATCAACTCCACACCAACACTATTAAAAAGTTTATAAATTTTCCTAGCCTTTTCCTTTCTTTTTCGAAGATTGACCTCTGTAATTTTATCAACAGTTTGTTCCCTAATTTTATTATTAACAAGGGCATTGGATGCATCCTCATTATTAGATTGTCGATAATGATCAAACCATAGTGTTAGGCCTTTCCCGAAATTGTAATAACAACAAATCACATCTTGGGTCGTTTTTTGATTATTTTCTTCAGCGTAGGTAATCATATTATACAATTCAAGAAAATTAACTGAGTCTTTGTTTATTATAGAGGCAGATTCTGACTGTAAGATGATAGTATTTCCCGAAGAGACTTGCTGAGAAGCATCGGCTGATAATTCTTTGATAATTTTTTTTAATGTAGGTGATTCTTTCTTCTTAACCAGTTTCGCTTTTTTACTGGATGATTTATCTACAGTGGTAGATTTATTAACGTGTTTGGATGGCAAAGCACTTGTAGTTGATGTTTCAGGTACGTCGGATTCTTTGTTTTGTGAACGATTATCATCAGATGGGTCTTCTGTGATCGTATCTAGATGCGATGGGTCATTTTCCAATGTGTTATTTTTTTGTCGAGAATAATTTTCTAATGATCCATCAATACTCATATTATCTTGGGATGAAAAAGATTGTACTTCTGGTATTTCAACATCTTGCAACTCCGATTCAAAAAATTTAGAACAACCGTGGGCAGGACAAATTTCTACACCATTTTTGATACTGTTTTCAAGACAAGTATGATGAAATATATGGCCACATGGTAGAGCTGTGAATGGCTTTTTTATTAGTCTTAAAAATAATTCATTGTTACATGGTGGACATGAATCCAGTTCCGGAACATCAATTCCATTTGCAATATCTCCTGGAGAGGTATTTTTAAGAATATTTAACGCAAGGGTTTTAAGGTATTTAATATCCATATTTGTGATTTTATGATTAATGGGACTAAAGCTCTGAACGGTTCAGTTTAAACCGAAATTTTTGGTTCAGTTTCAGTTTGGTTTGGTTTCGGTTTTTAAAAAACCAATTCGAAAATTTTCGGTTTGGTTTTGGTTTTTAAATTATTATTGAACACAAAAAAATAAATTTTTTTTTCCGATAATAAATAAAATATATTAATATACAGTATATAATAATCAAAAAAAAATAAAACATAAAAAAATAATTAATAATTAATTCCTCTCCTTCAATTTTACCATTAGTTATTGATTTCTTCATGAATGAACTACATAACTCTCTTGTTAATAATTCACCTGATATAGTTCTCCTATTTATAGTAGTGAAGAATTTGAAGAGGCAAAGCTCTGAACGGTTTGGTTTCGGTTCGGTTCAGCTAGATCTTCATATTTATATTATGAAAAGTTCACTCTCTACAATGAATTTTCACCTTTGTTTGTTATAGAAGATGCTTACATAGAACCTTGCTTTATTGTACGAAATAAAAAATACGTTTCGCTATTACATAATAATAATGCAAATACAAATATAAAAAAAATCTAACTATTTATGTGTCAGAGACACTAGCTCTGCTATCCTCTGGTTTTAATGTAATTGCAGGTGCTGGTTCCGATTCTGATACTGGGTATATGAGTACATGAATAATATTTGAATTGGGAATTCCTGGAAAATAAAATTTAATCTCACTATGGTTTTGCATGGTTTTGTATCCTATAGCTCCAGAAGAAAATGCACGAAGCTGGTAATAAACATTAGTAAATCAATCTAACTGACACTGAACCATATCCAGTAATTTATTGACTCCTGATCCATTAGAAATAGTAATTGTGAATTTAACTCTATCATTCGGAAAGGCATCCTGATCCATTAGAAATAGTAATTGTGAATTTAACTCTATCATTCGGAAAGGCATGGAAGCCCTCAATAGGAATTATAAGACAATTGAGATTGATATTAAATATATTATTAAACATTTTGCATTTCCTAAAAATAAAGACACATAGTAAATAGAATTTTGATTATATAGGTGTAGTTACACTTTGCTAGTGAATACTGAAAAATTCACTTATAAATAATACATAATGGATGATGGTACATACCTTATAAAATTGCGGGAAGATAAAAAATGATGCTTCAAAAGTCCAGTTTATTTATAGCTGAGCTAGTGCCAAGCCACATAGTTCATTTGTTACCCAAGAACCTGTTAGAAGAAAAAATTACATGATTAGTAATTACGTTACCCCAACCATTTACCAGATCCTTTCTTCGTAAAGCAAGTCAGGTCACAAGTGCCAAGCACTAAATATATGAGCCATAGACTATATTTCATCATTTATGGGAAATTAAACCTTTCAGTCTGACGATCACTTTTGTAGAATAAAAAATAAGACAAATTTTGGCGATCTTGGATCTCAAGTTCCATAATATATGAATTTTGATATTA